CTTATCGTTATTATTCAAGTATTGTTTATTAACGTGCTTGTTCTAATTATTCAATCTAAGCTTTTTTTTATAAATATTCTTAATATTTTTATTTTTTCATTTCTTCTTCAAACTATTTTTATTATTGTTGTTATTATTATTGAATCTTCTTTTTTGTTAAGTCTGTCTCTTATTTACGAATCTAATGTAAATTTTATATTGTACCTATTACATTCTTTAAGCTCTTAATTAAGTATTTTGTTGTTGTGCAAATAATTCAGCTTCAAAAGTACCAATAAATCCAGTTTTGGTTGAACCTTTGGCTAACTTAGGCGAGAAAGAACTCATAATTTTAATTAATATTTATATAAAATAATTTAAATGACAGTTAATTAATTTGTTTACTAAAATTTTTTTATTTAATTATATATATTAAAACATAAAAATTAATAATAAACACTCAATCAAATAATATCATAGGTGCTTATATACAAGGGGCTTCGAAAATTCGATTTTCAGACTATTATGTATGTTACTTAACTTTTTAAATAAATCAAAAAAAGAGAGTTATATCATAATTTAGAATTGATGAAAAGATATTTAGCCATGCTAAACTTAAGAATTACTATAAATTTAAATCAATTTGAACTCTATAAAAATATATTTAAAAAGTTATAGTGTTAAATATTAGGAATGATTCTGTAAATACCATCTTATAGTTATAAAATTATTAACAAGGCAAAAAAGATAATAAAATAAATTGAAATACTAGATTTCTTTTTATTTCAACATTAGAGTCATAAATAATTAATGGTTAGAAACGAGATAATAAAAAATAAAATACATAACTTGATTAAAAAAAGGAATTAGTAAATTCATTAATCTAAACTCAAAAAGATAGCGAAAATTGAAGACCATAAGTCAAAAAATCAAGAGAGATATTAAAGAACCTAGAATACTATCGAGATATGAATATTCCTCTAATTTTAAGATATTTAGCGAAAAGTGAATGGATAAAATGATCTATAAATCTCCGTATTTCTTTTTATTTACAAAAATCCAAATTTAAGAGAATATAAATTATTAAAAATCTATAATTATAATATGAAGAAAAAATTTTTTTTTGAGGAACTACTAAATGTAATAAAAGTATCTTTTGATATTATTGAGATTTTTTTATTATGTTCTTAATTCCAAAGAATTTATTTTGTATTAGTATTCATTTATGTAATTAATGATACATTATTAACTAGAGCATTAAAAATCTTAGGAAAAATAATTTTTATCTTTATTTGTTCGATAATTTCATTTGAATTTCTAGTGATTTTTTAAATGATTACTTTAATTTTGAATTAACAATTTTTAGATAAATAAAGAAAGACTATTATTTTTAAACTTATATTTTTTGATTGACCCATGAAAAAAATCCTATTTTATATTAATCTAAATCCAAGATTTGTTTCATAGAATATATAATTAACTTTTCATTATTATTAAAGTGATTAAAAAAATTGTAATTTTATAACTGGTAAGAGCTTATTATTGCTTAATTACAAATTTTGCAAGTAACAAAACAATCATAAATGAAAATATTTGTGATTACTGGTGTTAGATCTTCTCTTTCCAAAAGACGATCTTAATTTTTTGAATGCGATTATCTATGTTGCTATACTTTTACCAATATATTTCATGGAAAAAATGATATGTAAATTGAATTCAGTTTTAAAACCTTCAAATAAGTTTTGGTTGATTTCTAATTTCAATCAGATTCTTTATAAAAGTTAATAGTAATGAGGGAATTAAGCTTAATAATAATATCATCATCAACATGTAAAG